ACTCAAGCAATCCTCCTGCCTCAGTCTCCCAGGTAGCTGGGACTACAGGCATGCGCTACTGTGCCTGGCTAATTTTTTCTATTTTTAATTGTTTGGCTAATTTCTTTCTATTTTTAGTGGAGACAGGGTGGGGTCTCACTCTTGCTCAGGGTGGTCTCGAACTCCTGAGCTCAAGCAGTCCTCCCGCCTCTGCCTCCCAGAGTGCTAGGATTACAGGCGTGAGCCACTGTGTCTGGCCCTCCCTTCTCTTTTCATTACATGTTGGTTGTGAGCTTTGGTCCCCTTGTCTTCCCCACTGCATAGCTCAAGCCTGTCTCACTCTGATGCTCAGTTTCCTGTTCTAAGAGTTTCACCTTGCTCTGGGCCATTTCTTAGCCCATGAAATTGTCTTTCTGAAAAGCAGATCTCATCATACAACTGATGTCTTTAAAAACTGACTCACAGGTAAAAGCCAAACTCTGGAGTCTGGCACATAAAACTCTTTTTGTCAGCTCCATTCTGCCTCACCAGTCTCTTCTGCTGGGGCCCATCTTCTGTCTTCCAGGGCTGCCATGCGCGATAGTACAGGTTGTGCACTGCTTGCTTCCTTTTTTCTGGCTAACTTCTGCCCTGGCTTAAATATTCTCCCTTTTCTCAAAATCTTTCCTTAATTCCTAGGAAGAATCAACTGCTCCTGCTTCTGTAGTCTCAGAATACTTTATGCATTACCTGTCATTTAGTTATTTTTGTTTCTATCTCTGTTGCTGGTCTGACTACCTCAGGGCACCCAACTTGTTTATTCATATTTTTATTCCCTGCACCTTGCCCAGAGCATAGCACAGAAGGAGCATTTTATCAGTGTTAATTGATCAAGATAAATCTGAGAATATATTAAATAGAAATCAATTGTATAAAGTAGCATCAGGTATGTAGAAGGAGCTTTGCTTTGTGTGTATCTGAACTTCAGATGTATCTGTAAGTTAATACAATATTCTCTTCTTTGGGAAAGAAATATTTTCAGCATTTCTTTATGCATTCATTTTTGTACTGGGCCTGGCTTAGGTTCCTAAGTTTGGTCTTGGGGAGAAAAAAGGCTTCATATCAGCAAATATGTGCTGCTGCATTTATTTTGGGTATGCAGGACCCTCTCTCCCTGCCACCTGTCCCTCTGCCTTCTAGCTTCAGGTGACAGCGTATCTAGCTGTAGAGAGAGAGCCCTAGGGACATACTATTCAGAGCATTCCTTCCGGGACTAGGAGATCCTGTATGCTAGTGCATTTTAATGTCTTTCATAAAATCTAAAAGGTGTCGATCATTGGAAACGTTATTTCACGTATCTCTAAGAAAGTAAAAATGCTGGCAAAATATAATGACATGCTGTCAATTGTAAAATGTCTCCTAACTACAGAGGGTTAAAATGTGGGGGAAAAAATACATTTCAGAATCAAAGAGATATGTACATAGCTTCTGGGGCCCAGGTTTACAGGGACTTGGCTTCCGACAAACCTCCTTGCAAAGAAATCCCACCCACTGGCTAGTGGGAGCACACGGGCAGCAGGGCAGCCAGGAAGGAGCATTGCGGGTCAAGTGAGCGCACGCATGTGCAAAGGGCCTGCAAGGTCTGTGGCTGCTGTCTCTCTCTTGCTGACGTTCACGTTCCTGCCTGGTGCTCCCAAGGCCGAGGAAAGGGGAAGTGGGGGTGGGACAGGAACAAAGGAGTTCCTGCTTCTCACATGGGGCAGGAGACTCCGTCTTCCTGCCTTCTGAGTGTGTTTGGCGGATTTCGTGACATTCTGACGGAGCATCCGGGAGCCACATGAGGCAGGGCTCCTTCTTCTTGTCAGAAACTCCATTTTGTGCCCTGAGAATCTTTGTGCTATACATAAATCCACACAGCAGGGCAGTGGTGGCATCCCTGCTGGCATCTTCCTGGTGTAAATTTCAGCATAATGGAATAACGGGAAGTGTGGCGGGCACCTGCCTACCCAGTCTCAACTGGACCCCGTGCTGAGAGGAGAGAGAAGGGTGGGCAGAGAGCCAAGGGAAGAGGGCAGACAGGAAGCAGGAAGCACAGGGGATGCAATAAGGAGAGTGTTGGAGAGAAAGAGTGGCCAACAAAGCTATAAATAAACTGAAATAAAAATAAAAAGGACCTGAGGAAAAAGAATTAGTGGCATTTTCAGCGATGACACATGAAAACAAATGGTTTGCTTGGAGGATTTTCTTCATCTGTGTGTGTGTTTGCATCTAACTGGCCTTGGGGAGGAAGAACAAACATTCATTGCCTGATAACTGAGTTCTGGAATGTTCGGTAAGACTTTGGAATGGGAGTAGTCCCAGGAGAGGTCCAGGGTGGTTGGTGCCTGGACAAGGCAGTGTGAGGTCCTCGTGCTGTGGGCAAGGGTGGCTCCCTCGCCCGGGGCTGGGGCCAGGGTGTGCCGTGCTGGGGTTGGCTTTGTTTCGGTTTCCTCCCAGGTAGGAAAACACAGGCCCAGTTTTGGTTTGCTGGCCCAGGGAGGCTGGGAAGCCTGAGAAGGGGTTGTGAAGGATATGAGGGGGCTTTTCTCCCTTGGCATTGAAGAACATGCACACTGTTTGGTTTTAGGAAGTGGCAGGGATGCCATAGCATTTGAAGTAGTTTTATTTTCAGACTGAAGTGATAGAGTTAACTTTTTAAAAACTGGGTTCCCCAGGGTCCATGGGGCCTAATTAATCAGGGTAATTAATTAGAGTCGTGGACTGTTACAGACACAGGCACTTTATACCCTCAAGGCCATCCATTTATTGAGCCCTTTCTACTTGCTCTCCACTGTGCCAAACAGATTGCATTACCTGCCATTTAGAACCTCCCTGTGAGATAGCTACATGATTATCTCCGTTTGATAGATAAAGTAACTGAGAGATTGCATTTCTCAGGGTCAAATTAAGTGGCAGAACCAGGATTCAAACTCAGGTCTTGCTGAATCCAAAACCCAGGGTCTTAAATACATCATATGTAACAAAAAATTGTCATAAAAATGCCTGACTAGAACATCAACTAAAACTTGAAGAATTAAGTTGCAAGAGTAGTACAAAGAACTTTATTCCACCTTGAGCCATCGGAGACGAGGGTGCCACAGTGATGTCCCGTGGCCTGAGACATGTCCATCACCCCAAATACTTGAATGTGTATTTTCTGCAAACACAAACATTCTCCTACGTAACTCGTTACATCTATTAAAATCAGAAAATTAACTCTGATATGTTACTACCTTTTAATCCTCAGACCCACTTTAGTTTTACCAAATATTCCCATACGGTCCTTTTTCGCAAAACGATCCACTGCAGTAAGTTCTTCCTCTCTGGAACAGTTCCTCAGACTTCTCTTGATTTTCGTGACCTTGACACTTTTGAAGAGGTCGGGCCAGTTATTTTGCAGAATGTGCCTCAACGTCTGTTTGCCTGGTGTTTCCTCGTTATTCGACAGGGGTTGTGTGTCTGCTGCAGAAATACCCTAGGAGTGACGCATTCTCATGGGACACGCTCAAGTACCAGCGGGCTGATGACCTAACCCGGGGCTCTTGTGTTTCGTCCTCAGGTGGAATTTAGGCAAAACTTACAATATTGTTTTGGGATCTGGACAAGTCGTGTTGGGCATGGACATGGGTCTCCGAGAGATGTGCGTGGGAGAGAAACGGACAGTGATCATCCCTCCCCACCTGGGCTACGGGGAGGCTGGCGTGGGTGAGTTAAAAAAGCGACAGTACACAAGGGTGTTTGGGCACAGTCACCATCAGAATTTTGTGCTTTTTGGGCTGTTGTAGTTGGAACCACAATATGCTGCCTCCATTTAAAACCCAAAGAGACTGTGCTTTCTGTTTTTGGTAAGTATTTAGCATTGTTGTTTAAAGACCCCTGTGAATTCATTGAGGCCATGTTGATGTCCCCTTACCCTCTTGAGAAAAAACAGGTTTCAGTGAAATAAACCTTGGATCTCCAGGCCCACGCGTGGGACTTCTCCCTGGGGGAGCTTTCCAGATTTCTCTGGAGTTGGGCTGAGCACGTCCTTCCAGAACTGTTTCCTGGGACAAGTGGAATACCGTGGGCTGTTGCTTCTCACTTCTATCGAGCCTGAAAGCTGTCCAAGACGATTTCCTTTTTTCTGGAAGAGATTAGTTCTAAGTTCTGGAAATGCTGGCTTTCCCTAATCCTCTCAGTGGTTATGTTTCACCTCACGATTTCGTCCAGAACGTGTCCTCCACGTGGAGGGCTCGGGAACCCCTCTTTTCAGTGTCCCTACCCTGCAGATACCTGGGATGGAAAGGGTTAACCTGTAGACACGATAGGCACTTTGGACTGATTTTGGTTTTTTTCACAACTTTTTAAAATAATTGTAAAAGTACATCCGTTGTTTCCACCAATCCTAGAAAAGACTGTTTAAAAAATATGTTGTGTATTATTTAAGACCTTTCCTATGATATATATTATAAATAATTATATAACATTATATATAAATTATAATCTAGATAATATATAATACTTTTGAATAATATATATGACACTTATATATTCCATGCTCATATAACTTCTTTTGGGTCTGTACTATACTGTTCTTAGATTGATGTGTATAGTCAGATCTTGGATTATTATTTATGGGCATACTGTGATTTTTAAAGTTCTACTGTTAGATTTATTTAAAAGTTCTACCATTGCAGTCTCTACAGATAGCTTTCAAACTTTTTTTACCAAGACACACAGTAAGAAATACATTTTATCTCCCAATCTGTATTGTATATATACATACAGTTTATACATATATACACTTAGGTTTTTCTTTCTTTGGAGACAGGCTTGCTCTGTTGCCCGGGCTAGAGTGCAGCGGCATCATCACAGCTCACAGCAACCTCAAACTCCTGGGCTCAAGCGATCCTCCTGCCTCAGCCTCCCGAGTAGCTGGGACTAGAGGCATGCGCCACCACACCTGGCTAATTTTTCTGTGCTTTGTAGAGGTGGGGTTTTGATGTTGCTCAGGTGATCCTCCTGCCTTGGCCTCCCAGAGTGCTAGGATTACAGGCATGAGCCACCACACCCAGCCTTACATTTAGTTTTACATATGAAATTGAAACTGAAGTTCATGAAATAATACCTGTCCTTTATAGGTGCAATGTATTCTGATCTATTTTATTCTATTCTTTAATTGAAAAGAAAAAAAAACACTGGTCACCATCCTCTAAACTGATTTCATGACTCATTAAGGGGTCACTGCCTGCAACTGGAAAAGCAGCTAGCCTTTGCTACGCTTTCTTGCTTTGGTAAGAAAGGAGTCAGGTGTGGGAGTGCAGGCGATGGGTGGCGGGCTTGGCCGTGCTGCCCGCGGCTCACCCTGCCTCCCTCCCCCGTCGCTCGGCAGATGGAGAAGTGCCGGGCAGTGCCGTGCTGGTGTTCGACATCGAGCTGCTGGAGCTGGTGGCTGGCCTGCCGGAGGGGTACATGTTCGTATGGAATGGCGAGGTGTCACCCAACCTCTTTGACGAAATCGACAAGGATGGCAACGGAGAAGTCCTCCTCGAAGAGGTAACTGGCTTTGTGGAAAAGTGGGAGGGACGGTGCTCAGGGAATCTTGTGGGGCCAGGGTGCCGGTTCTGAAGGCGAGGCCTCTCAGGGTGAGGACAGCGGCACTGGATTTCTCGTGGTGACGATGACCAGCACGCTCATGTGCCACGCGCTTTTACACACACCCTCAAAATCGAAGCACACTGCTGTTCTTTGAAGAAACCGAGCCCCTGGGAGGTGGCGGGCACACAGGTCTGCGTTAGTTCTCGGTTTCTGGGTGCCCACCGCGTGCCTGCGTGGTGCTGAGTGTTTCCACATGTGTTCTCCGGTTCAGCCCTCACAACAGCCGTGTAATCGTCTCTGTTTTGTAGAAGAGGAAACTGTGTACAGAGAGTAAATGACTTGCCCAGGGTCACACAGCCACCCAGTGGTTTGAGCCGGGACCTCAGGCCCCTTCCTGGAATTGGGCAAAAACTTGTCTATCCCGTCCAGCCCTGGGGAAGCCCAGCTCTCCGCCCGTTCCACATCCAGCTCCCCTTACTCAGCACAAGGCTCCAGCCTTCTTTCCCCCATCTCCCACGTCATCAGCATTTCCCGGCTTCTGGATCTTTCACATTAGAAGCTGTTATTCCTATATAGCAAACATGGTATTATTTTCCCTTCTTTTTATGTATCTTCCCATTTCTTTCCCATTTCTTTTATTTCTTTGTCCCCTTTACAGCAAAAACTTCAAAAGAATTGTCTGTCCTCCCTGCCCCTCCAGTTCCTTTCTTCTATTCTTTTTTTTTTTTTTTTGAGACAGAGTCTCTCTCTGTTGCCCCAGCTAGAGTGCCCTGGCGTCAGTCTAGCTCACAGCAACCTCAAACTCCTGGGCTCAAGCAATCCTCCTGCCTCAGCCTCCCGAGTAGCTGGGACTACAAAGCACACGCCACCATACCCAGCTAATTTTTTCTATTTTTGGTGGAGACGGGGGTCTCGCTCTTGCTCAAGCTAGTCTCAAACTCCTGAGCTCACACGATCCTCCCGCCTCGGCCTCCCAGAGTGCTAGGATTACAGGCGTGAGCCACCACGCCCGGCCTCCTCCATTCTTTGTTAAGCCCACTCCGGTCCGGCTTTGTCCCTCTAGGCTCTGAACCTGCTCTTGCCAAGGTGACCAGAGCCTCCCGTGCTGCTGACTCCAGTGGTCAGTCCTCACGCTCCCCTCGCCCAACATGGCCGACTCCTGAGGATGCTGCTTCCCCCTCTTCCCGGCCACACCCTCTCCTCATGTCCTTCTGTTTCTCTGGTGGCTCCTTCTCAGGCCTCTTCTCCGAGATCCCTTCCTGTTGGTGTGCCCTGGGCTAAGTGCTGAACTTTACTCTCTTTCCTACTTTGATGTCGTTTCTTTGGTGGTCTCATCAGGTCCATACCCTGATGATATCCAGATCTGTAGCTCGTCCTGTCTTCTCTCTCCACCTCACACTCACGCATTCAACTACCCAGTTGACGTCCTCATTTACTGAACCCCTGATATCCGCGCCCCCCCCACTCCGAACCTGCTTCACCCAAAGCCTTGCCCATCGTGGCCAGTGGCAACACTGTCCTTGCCCTGGCCCAGGCGAGAGCACTCAGAGATCTCCGCTCCTTTTTCCTCTCATAGGCCACGATGATCCTTCAGCACATCACTAGCTCTACCTCGAGTGCAGAACCTTCCACTTCTCGCCACCTCCGCTCCGTAGCATCTTAGCCCAGTGCCCAGCGGCTCTTTCCTGGATCACGTCACTGCGGCAGCAGCCTCTGTGAGGCGTCCCCACGGCAGCCAGAGTGGCCGTTCTCACACAGAAGCCTCGTCACAGCCCCTTCTCAGACCTGCAGAGACACCACCTGTCTCAGTGGCCCTCCACCACCTGCATGCTGTGACTGCCCCGCCGGCTACTCTGCCCCTCTGCCAGCCACAGCCCCCTGCTGCTCTGTGACCCCCTGGGCGGTGCTGTCTTCTCTGCTCAGGGGACACTTGCCCCGGATAACTGCCTGGCTGCTTCCCTCACATTCTTCAAGCCTTTGCACAAGTGTCCCCTGCTCACTGAGGTTTTATCCCGACCACCGAATTTAATACTTCAACCCGTTCTTTTCTCCTAACTGAGCTCTACTTTTTTAATTTTTTTCCAGAGCATTTCAGTTTGTAACTTATTATGTAATTTACTTATTTATTATGTTCATGTCTAATTGTCAGTCTTTCCCTTCGAATGCAAGCATTACAAGGGCAGGATTTTTGTTTGTTTGTTTGTATATTGATGTATTTCAAGGGTCTCGAATGGTGCTCAGCACACGGTAGACATTCAGGGCATTTCTATTGCATGAGTGAATGAATGCATGCGTGCAGCAACGCCAGAGGGCGAGTCCTCGGTGGGGAACCAAGTGCGGAGAAGGGATAGCTCTGGTGGCTGCTGTGTATTGGCCACCTGGATCCTGAGGGCTCTTGGAGTCATTTAGTCCAGGAGTTTTTCACCTGCATCTGGAAGAAAAAAACCCAGGTTGTAAGTTGTATGGCTGCCAGGATCTTGGCTATTTTGGTGGCTCAGACTCAAATTCCAGCCCCATCGCTGTTGGACTGCTCTGCTCCTGACCTGGGCCTGGCTTTCTCAGGTGCCGTATCTCATGGTCTGTCTTGTCCCTTTTCTTTCCAGTTCTCAGAGTACATTCATGCCCAGGTGGCATCTGGCAAAGGGAAACTCGCTCCTGGTTTCGACGCTGAAATGATCATGAAGAACATGTTCACCAACCAAGACCGGAACGGAGACGGGAAGGTCACGGCTGAGGAATTTAAACTCAAAGACCAGGAAACCAAACACGATGAACTCTAAACCTGGCATGAGCCAGTTGGTGCCAGGGAGTACGTGACACCAAGCCACCCGTCATGGCAGAACGTGCAGGGAGAGTCTCCCAGAAGGTGCATCATTAGCAAGTAGTAGGTGGGTCACATAGTACCTGGTGCATACATCGGGGTGGGTGGATACACGTGATGAGAATCTTAGCCGGACTGCCAGGGATAGTAAACAAAATCGGCGCAGAGTGCCTTCGCGTGGGACGTGTCAAGATTAAAAAGGCTGCACTGCCGACATTATTTGTGAGCCTTCTGGGAAATTTTGTTATTAAAGGGATATAGGGTTACACAGAAGTTATAACCATCTTGGAGAGAAAAAAAAAAGTGTCCACGGTGTCTACACAAAGAGGGTTACATTTTTTTTTTTTAAACTTGTTGGTGTTTTAAAGATGTTCTCAAGACAGGCAGGAGAGGCAAAGGGCATGTACCAGCCGGGTCCCAGCACTGGTGACAACGGCCCTACCTCCTCCTGTACACACATCCACATACAAACACCCACACACACATGCATACTGTGCTCTTCCAGTTCATCATACCCCGTCCTGCTGTGGTCCTCCCATTGGCACTGTGTGACTTGGAGGTTAAAAAGAGCCTCCTGTACAGAAGAAAACCGTGGGCCAACCAAAGGTGTCTCGGACCATGAATACAGAATTCGAGTCTGCCTTTGCCATGTAAGGCCATCTGCTCAGCTCTCCTTCCCCCCATCTCTCCTGCCCACGGAGCACTCTCTCACTGTTCCACCCTGTGTCGTGCTGATCAGATTGATAGGTTAGGAACTGGGCCTCGCTGGGCAGTCTACAGAGTATTTCATTTGGCCCAGATTGAAGTGTCGTCCCAGTAGATGAGCCATGGAGCATAAATAAGGTGACATTTCTGTGCTGCTCATTTGTGTCCTGGAGACAGTGGTGCCCTGAAGGCTGGGGCCAGCTGCTGCAGGACAGCAGTGACAGCATACCTGCCTGCTTGTCCCCGCCTCCTGCAGTAACCACATTTGCTACCTTTTGTCTTCTGTTCCCAAGTGGTGTTGGCATCGACCCTGAAGTCATCAGTGATTTTCCTTTTGAAATGGCTTTATTTGACTAATTTAAACTGTTTTGTACTGATGTAGCCCTGAGATAGTTCATGAAAATGCTGTGCACTCTTTCAACGGAATGTTGGGAAGCTGATCTTTTCTGATATAAAATATTGAATTATATTATCTGGTTTCGTGGCATTTCTTTGAAGGCTGAGAGGACCCCATGAGAATGCACCAGGCAGTCAGAACCCCCCCCCCCCCGATAAAAATGGCGGGACAATGTTGTGTTTCCTGACAGGACAGCGCTGCACAGCATATGGGGGTATCTGTCAGGGTCCTGGCCCGAAACGTAGACACCATCCTCTGGAACTCTTGAGAAGCTAAAGAAAGGACTGCAGAGGTGTGGGTGAGGTTCAGGGGACCAGGAGGGATGTTGAGGTGGCTGTGACAGCAGTGTCGGCCAGCGCCACAGGAGACTCTTGCCACCCCTGGCCGCAGGGGTCAGGTCAAGGCAGCAGGAGCGGCGCAGGAAGGGCTGCCTGGCAGGTGTCACAGAGGGACACAGCCACCCCCAGAACTGGTTGGCACTGCAGCAGAGGAGTGAGGGACAAAATGTCCCGCCTTCCCTGTCCCCTCACTCTCTGCCACCTGCTGCTGGCTCCCGGTAGCTGAACCCCATCTGAAGCCGAGGGACTGGAGCTCTTGGGGCACAGAGAAAGGTGGGAAATGGATCTGATGTAGGGGGTTGTGGGGGAGCAAATGGAGAATAACTGGCACATGTATAAGAAAAAAATATATATATGATTGTTTCTTAAAATCAAATGTTACTGTTTACTCTTTGCAGAAGCAACTTCAGGAAGCCAAGGAGATGGCTCTGGCCTTCCTGGCTGCTGCTGCCCAAGCCACTAATGTTCTTGGCCCTCTTCCCCCCAGCCCACAGTCACTCCGTTTCATTTAACAGAATTCCTTAAGTACATGAGATAGGTTAATGATCTTGCTTCTTGCTAAATGGAATTGCCCCTTGGAATGCATTTGACCTACACCACTTCATTGTCCTGACATGTCTCCATGAAGGTAAAAACCTGTGCTTATTCTCTACCCCAGATTTTCATTTGCCCCTATTTGAATTTCTTCCCTGGCTGCTTTCCACAAGAGTGGAGACAGGTTGGCTGAATGAGGAGTACGTTTCTTTGGGGAAATTAAGATCATGGGCCTTAGAACTTCAGGAAGAGAGGGCACCTGAGGCCTGCAGAGGTGAGTTGAGACGAGAGCTGCCCGGGCACTTCCAATCTTCCCACTGCTGAGGAGGACATTCAATTACCTGTGGCCGCGTCAGGCACATTAACCTGTGTGGATGGGCAGGCTGCTAAGCTGGCCCCACTTTAGATGCTGCTGCGTCACTTGCTTATATTGCATTATGGTTATGGGTTATAGCTCTGCCAGCAAGTCTGTATTAATGAAGGGGCCAGGCCCGGCACAGTGGCTCATGCATGTAATCCTTGCACTCTGGGAGGCCGAGGCAGGAGGATCACTTGAGGTCAGGAGTTCAAGACCAACAAAGTTGCTTTTTTTGAAGACTTTTTCCCTTGGCTCTGAGAGATCTTGGTTTTTAAAAATTTAATAATATTGTTTCTGGTATCACTACAGATACAAAGCTTTTATGCTTATTAATACTTCGATTGTATATGGTCTCCATCCTTAATGCTGGAATTTTGATTGATCAGGGGATTCCTTCTAGCTTACACTGGTCACATTTAAATCTCATTTAAATGCAGACAACACCCAGATTTATAGTTCCTGCTGATATTTTTCCTTTGAGCTCTAGCCTGCCTATATGGTATCTTTTCTTATGCATCTCACAGGCACCTCAAACTTCTGCCTCAGCTCCCAAGTAGCTGGGACTATAGGCATACACTAGGATGCCCAGTTAATTTTTCTATTTTTAGTAGAGACAAGGTCTCGTTCTTGCTCAGGCTGGTTTCAAACTCCTGAGCTCAAGTGATCCTCCTACCTCGGATCTCCCAGAGTGCTAGGAGATTACAGGCGTGACCCACCGCACCCAGCCTGTAGGGACTTGTTGAATGAATGACTCTTCATTTAATCCTTACCTCTAGTTAATACCTCCACTTTACAGATGACAACACTAAGGCTTAGAGAAGTTAGAAATTCACTGCAGGTCACAGAATCAGACTCAGATCCAGGTTTGATTGATTTCAAAGCCTATGCACTTTCTAATCTATTAAACTTGTACTGAACCACCATACTAAACAGCTTGACTGTTGAATCTTGAGGTGACCTGGGAGACGTTTCAGGATTAGTCATTCAAGATCACATTTATCTTTTCCTTGCCAATTCTGCATAGGGTATACGAAAGATAAAACCCTGAACCTGAAGGTTGATTAAATAGACCTTTGGCAACCCAAGTTTTGGTGGCTTAAAAATATACCATGGAATGTTGGTTTCTTGTGAAATCACTCTGGACTGAGCTAGTATTACTGACAATTGTGTTCTTTCTTCCCCCAGTGTCATCAAAATTGTTACTTCTAGCACTCAAAACTGCTTTACCTCATAAAGTAAAATTTAAAGTTGAATAAAACCACTGACTAATGCCAGGCTCTTTATAGAATGTGGTAGTGACCATATACCACCAGTGTTCCCTGGGGCTGCAAAAGGTCCTTCCGCTTCATTGACTCAACCAGACACCGTACTGGGGGATATAATAACGTGGGTGGATGCCACCGACAATATTGAACCCTGTGTTACGCAGTTCTAAATGCAAATATAAATTTGAAGTGCATGCACAGATGCACATATCTAATCCTCACAAATCTAGAGGATATATCATTATCTTTATAGATGCACAAACTGGGACACAGGTTAAATAATGGGCCTTGGTCACACACTTAATGGCTATGTTAAACTGTTCTAAATACTCAACTCAAACACAAATATTTCAAATATTAGTAGCATCAAGTGGCAGTGAGATGTGATAGGGTTACAAGCATTTAGTAGAGACATAATGAAGTTGTCATGGAACCTCAGAAAGTACATGTTCTCAAGGCATTCATTATAGGGGGAGGAGGGGGGTTAATGAATAGGGAGGCTGAACCATAACTAGAATGCAGGTCATGACTTCACTATGCTTTACAATTACACCACACAGTACAATTATTTAAGGAATCATATTCTAAACTCCTTTGGGAAATAGCCAATATGACAAGTTCTGATAGCAACACGGGATGTAAAGGGCTGTCACTAGAGCAGTGATTCCCAACTGTTTGTTCTGTGTGAAAAAGTCTAGGTAATTCTGATACTGCCATGCCCCACTATCTGCTTTAATGCAACAAGTTTACTTTTGAGGTTGATTTTGAAAATACCTAAGCAGGGTCTAGTTTACCTTTTGCCATTGCATTTTTTGTTTTATTATTTATTATAATAAAAGGAGTAGTGGTGGTGGAGGATAAGAATGCCCATTAAGAATGGGCATCCCCAGGAAAAAAAGGTTTTTTTATCATGTGCCTTCCCTTCCTGCCATATGCGAGTGGAGTCGAGATTGCTGATCACACATACTGAATGGCCAAAACCAGTCAGATCATGCTGTGTGTGCATCAGAGCTCGGATACCATAAGCAAAACAATTAGGTGCCCATAGGATCTGGAATTCAAGGATTATCATCAGGGTCAAATTTATCACAATGGCAAGTCCCAACCTATGAAAACCAATTAGGAGGCAGCAGCAGAGTTTGGGATGGGAAGTCAGGTACGGAGAGAAATGATAGTTCCTAACTTCACATTACTACCAGTTTTAAGTCACCATGAGATCCAGCTCCACTTTGTTTACTGCCTGTGTTTGTTCTGAAACTCAGACTTGAACAATAAACGACTCTCTTTTACTAATGTTTTCAATGGGGGAAAATAATTTTCATAGGTATCGGTATTTTCTGAAGGACAGATTAAATTTTCTCTGCAAGAATCTTTTTATCGTTAGACTTATAATGTATAAAGTTTGAAAACATTCAATCTAAATAGTCGCTATGACATCTAACAGGTTAGCGTAAAAAAATAAACAGTCACTATGATAAGGACATTAAGAGAAGGAAGGAAGGAAGAAAGGGAGGGAGGGAAAGAGGGAGGAAGGAAAGAGAAAACAAAACCAGGGCAGGTGCTCAATAAATGTTTGTCGAATCAAGGAATAGTTTTGACAACAGAATTAAAAAGGCTTTTCATTTCATATTTGTTATCAGTGCTTCAGTACAGAACATTTTATAATGATTAGTGACATTGTGAACACCAACTTTTTCCAACACTAAGTACCAGTCTTTTCTGGTAAATACTGATTTACCCCAAAGTAACCAAACATAACACAATTTCAAGAGACAGTGATACCATCAGCATCATAACCCAAATTACAAAAATGGCAATATTTAAAATCATGCACATTATTTCACCATTTCATAAAACATCTTGTTAAATTTTGACAAACTTCCCTGGTGTAAAAAAGACTCCTCAAAAACATGATAACATTAAACTACAAAACTCACTTTGGAAAAGTAGGGAGTTATTTTTCTAATTTTGGCTTTAAGATTTTTTTTTTTTTAATCTGTTAAAAAATATAGTGAGGAGTGTGTTGCGAGAAATGGAGAAAGGGGAGCTTCCAGTTGGTGGATTCAACATGTCTGAAAATACTTCAGTTATGTAAAAGGAAACGTCAAGAATAAGGATGTATTATAAATAAGAGTCTTTCAGCAAGATGAACAGATGAGCAGTTCTTGCATCAATTGCACCCATGGGAGAGAGGTCTTCTTGAAGAAAGCTTGTTTATAGAATCTTCTGTAAAATAGAGTTGGCTACCTCCAAAGATTCATCTTGCACTAAAACAATATCATAAGAGTCCATGTACTTTTCTAAAAGCTCATCCACCTAATCAAAAGAAGAACAAAAATAAAATGAACACACAGGGAGAAGCAGCAAATGATTCCAGTACAGACCTCATTGTTATGTTAGATATGTGGGACAAAATATAGTAAATTAAATTCACTTTCATAAAATCTTTGAAATGAAGACAAATACTTTAAAACTTTTAAAAGTCACTGACACTGAAATTTTTCCACATGATAGCTTTTCTTCCCAAAATGATCTTTCTCCAGTCCAATGGTTCTCAACTGGGATGATTCCAAGGAACATGTGGCAATTTCTGGTGACATTTTTGATTCTTATGACTGAGTGCTACTCAGCCTCTAGTGAATGGGTCCTCAAACTTTTGAAACAGGGAGCCAGTTCACCATCCCTCAGACCGTTGGAGGGCTGTTGGAAAGTGCGGCGCACATTCCACACATGCGCACTGTGGGCCAGGGACAAGTCAGCTGCTAAGCAGGACAGGCAGCATCGGCAAAAACACCTGGCAGGCGGGCCCCCAAAACACCTGGACCCCAGGCTGTAGTTTGAGGACACCTGCTCTAGTGAGTGGAGGACACAGAAGCCTCGCATATAATACCTTCCCTTCCCCCAATACCTATAGCATGCATGTGTGTACCAACTCCTTTAATCATCACCAAAGTGAAGGGGTAAAGAATAATCAAAATGTCTGTGAAATAACTGCTTTTTCAGGTACCTTTGGCAATAATTACCTATAAAGTTTCATCCTAATTTTTTCTTAGCAAGAAAGTTAAATTACAGATCTTTATACTTACTCTATCATTTAGATATCCAATTTTCAGAATGTGTTCAACATTGGCTACCCCATCTGCCATTCTTAAGTCTCCTTGGGAGTCTCCCAGCAGAATTATGTTGCTATTGTCTTTTAGTTGATTAAAATATTCTGTATTCTTCAAGGCACCATCATGTTTGTTAAATACATGAATTAGTTCTCCTTTAAATCCTTTGAGTACTCCCTATAAAAATATAAATCTTTTGAAATAATAGGTTTTGAAAATTCTATTTATTGGATTTTCATATTTTGCAAATTTTAATAAATGTCACTATTATTTCATCATATTTGTACATTTATCTTTGATATTAGAGATCTCAAAGCACTTAAATCCAGTCACATTCATGATAGCTAAGAAGGGCCCCAGGAAGTCAATGATTTTTTAGAGACTACCTTAAGTGGTAAAACAAAATGAGTTAAAAACTCCACTTTTGCTTTTCATTTTGTTCCTAACCAAAATATTCCATCTTACGTATTTCATAATACACTGTCTTAATTAAAAACCTTGGTCAAAAAACATCAGTTCTAATTCACTTTTTTTCCAACTATGAATGTTAAGTTTTCAGAGTTGCTGCATTAAATTACTCTAAAAATTTTACTAATTTTATTGTTAGTCTATAGCTTGAGGAATGAAAATTTAAGAAGGCTATATTGTTTTTAAAAATGAATAACACTGGGAAAAGTGGAGAGTCCCATAGTAGGCATATCCATGTGGCCTAATTTAATGAATATACATTAATAATAATACATTCACATGATTAAAATATTTTCAGAGTTTTAAAATAATTAAGTTAAAATATTTTCAGATTTTAAAAGTAATTATGAAGAATGATTTGAGCTGGGCACAGTGGCTCATGCCTGTAATCCCAGCACTTTGAGAGGCCAAGGCAGGAGGATCACTTGAGTCCAGGAGTTTGAGGCTACAGGGAGTTATGATGACGCCACTGCGTTCTAGCTGGGGCGACTGAGCGAGACCCTGTCTCTAAAAAAAAATAAAATAAAATAATAATTTGATATTCTTACATTTTCATCGAAATCCATGAAGTTGGACACAACTTTGACATTTGGATGATAAACACCAGCTTGACGGATAATCTCCTCTAGAACGTCACCGATACCAGCTGAAAATATGAACACCGGGATACTGTGTTGTTGGAGCTTATCAAAGAAATTCTCATATCCTTCCCTGCAAGATGTAGCACAAACTGATGGTTAAAGAGCAAGATATAGCCCCTCTTCACTTAGAAGTTTAAAGAATGAAATATTTCTACCTGATTCTATGGCTCACTTATATTCTCATTTCAAAAGACTGCCTAAAAGGGTTGTTGATGGTATCTAAGATATTAATACTAGTAATGAAAGTTTTTCAAATAACAGTTAATGCTTCTCCTTCCTTTTAATCAATTCTAAGAGTACAAACTAGATGTATTTAGAGTCACTGAATATGAATATAAGCCTTCAGCTCATAATTTAAACCCTTTTCAAAGACACAGCCGGCATGATAGCACGTGCCTGTACTCCCAGCTACTTAAGGGGCTAATTATGGGAGGATTGCCCGAGCTCAGGAGTTGAAGATCAGCCTGAGCAAGAGTGAGACCCTGTCTCTTATAAAAATAAAACAGAAAAAGATAGTTAAACTACAACTTGAAAACCCCACTTAGGGTGAAGTGGAAGGCTGCTTGCTGTATACACTATTCATCTACCTTCCCTATTGCCAGAAAAGCATCTAGCATTTCTCTTTCCTAAGATCTTAAAAAAACCTTTTCTTCCCCTTTTACTCTTCTTAGGCTATTTATAGGTTAAATAAAATTGTTGCTGCCTACAAAGGAATGTAATATCCACTAGCTGTCCTCACATTCTTTTTGACAATTTGACAATTTCCTCCTTAGAAGTAGTCACCTTAAAATATAGCATAATCCAAAAACCCAAAAAGAAGCATCATATTTACCCGAATGAGTTGAATTTTTTAAGAAGTGGTAAACAGTATTGAAAATAAGCTTAAAGCTTCTTATAGCTAATAATTCAAGAATTGTAAATATTTTAATTATATTCATCTTCCCTAGAAATAGTTTTCAGAGAAGTTTGAGAATTCAGAAAGTAGATTCATATAAATTTAGAAACAGGGTACTTAGCTAAATCTTTTTCAACTGGATTTATACATTCCTTTCATATTCTATGTCTTTCAAAAGTATTTTGCTAAAAATTGTTAAAATGGTCTTAGTTTAAAAAATTTATGAATTAATCTTGAAGTTTTTAATCTGGATGAAGGAAATATAAATTAGTACTTCAATCTCGTAAGCTTCTTAGTATCTACACCAAGATCTACCATGTTATCCTAAATTCCTTATCTCACTACTATCTGTTTTGTGATAGATGGCATATGGCATATTTTGGATGTTTATATATGTAATATTATATACCTTATTTTAGTAAAAATACACAATTGAATACATATTTAACAATACTTCAAGTCTGTAAACAACAACAACAAAAAACACCAAAAAAAACTTACTTGAGCATAACATCAGATTCTGCCACAATTTCTTTAAGTTTAGCTTTTGGTAAAGATTGTTCAACAAGCAAACGATGTGATTTATTGTACCTGAAGTTTATGATCAAAGAAAAAAAATATAAATTAAAACAAATTAAAACTATTATCTTTATTAGAAAGCATTCTTTAGTGTGAGAAAGTGAGTTTTGTTTATCATATTTGATTAGAGATTTAAATTCACCACTAAGGAATGTATACCCCATTAGTCTCAAAATGTGATAAGCATGTTCTTACTGAATTTCCCAGTTCCCTCAAACTTGGGCTTAGCTTAAGTATGTTAATAAGGTAAAGAGAGGAAACTGCTGTAAACCTTTCCTCAGTCTACAGATAAGAACTCAATCCAGCCTAGGGGGAAATAATCATTTTTCTAATTGCAATAAGAATTAGAGCAAAGCCATTTTTTCAAACTGTTTGTAGTTTGAATTTTCGTGAAATGTCTACATTCTGAAGATGCTGTCTGGTGAGGAAGAGAGAAAATCCTTTTTATGAAAATTGTTATGTATAGATTGGCCTGCTTTATATTTATGTAAAAACACCTATAATCACGGCATCTCAGTATAACAGACCTTTACAACCTAACTCTCACCCGTTACAACTATTAAATAGCCAAAAAAGAAAAAAAACTCTAATTCTTCACCTGACACCTATAATATTCCTGAGTGATTCTTCTCTCTGCCTGGGTCAGGTTCTGTCATGTCAGTGGACTCATTCTCCAAAGGAAGCTTATTCCATTGGCAGAAAGCTCTAACTGCCAGACAGCCCTTGACCACGCTGAAATAAATCTTCTTAAGCATTCCAAGTCTAATTCCAGTTCTACTGCTACAGGTGTGTACAGTTAAGTCTAGTATCTTTTCAACATTTAATACCATAAACACAAATGAGCTGTGTAGGGTACCCTGTTAAGTAATGAGAAAATGAAGACAAATATCATTCCTGGTCTCTTAAGATTTTAAAACAAGTTGTTACTTCTCAAAGCATATTCTATTCCTTGAAATGTGCCTTAGATAGGATGGCTCAGACACCTCTGATCATCCTGGTGGACTCCTCTGACTCTTTTGAGGTTTTCAAGATTTCTCTTAACAGCATTCTTCCAGAACCCTGGAACAATGCTTTGATGTGTGGTCTGCTTGGAACACTACGTTTTGATTAATGCAATCAACACCAGAGGTCTATTTCTCAGTAACCATGTCACCTGCTGGCTTCAACTGAGTTTAGAGTCAATTTAAATCCTAATTCCTTTTATTTACACATTCAGCCACATCTTGTGCATGTACTTAAGAAAAATTATTGTTTTTAATTTAAGATTTAAGTGCAGGATTTTTAATTTATTCCTATGGAACCTCATCTTAAATAGATTAAACAAAATAAAACATATCCTAGAATGTTAGAGAATTAGATTTCATTTTATTATATTTAATTCACTGCTCTAACTCACTATATAATTTATGAATCTATTTATATGCAATACAGGGGGGAAATAAACTATCAGTTGTGACTGTAATATTGTTTTATTATTTTTTTAACCCTCCCACTGCTCAACACACACTTACCATTCTACCATATGTGGGTACTTCTGTTCTACAGTAAGAGAAGGATCAACTTCAATAGCATAATACTTTTCCTTTAGTTTCAATAACTAGAAAGAAATGAATAAATCATGAAGATTATAGAATTGCCATTAATCTTAGTTTTACAGAAAGCAAAATAATGTAAACAAGTATTTTCCATAAACTGCTTTATAAATTGAGCTAATGCATCAATTGACTGAAGACATATTTGTTGATCTTAGTGTACATGTAATTAAATACACCTGCAAAAAGCTACCGTTCTTTTGTAAAGTATTTTCAGGTGAGCAATTAGGTGAAACCAACTAATAATCAAATTATCACTACAGAAACACTTTATAGCCAGGCATGGTGGTGAGCGCCTATAATCCCAGCTACTCGGGAGGCTGAGGCAGGAGAATCACTTGAGCCCAGGAGTTTGAGGTTGCTGTGAGCGAGGCTGACGCCATGGCTCTCCAGCCCAGGTGACAGAGCAAGACTCCAACTCAAAAAAACCCGTATTAGTTCTCATATAAATGTGTTAAATTTGATTGACATTTTGAGTTGTATATTCACAATTATTTAGGCAAAGTACTGAAGTAAATTTCTGATCAATTTAAGGGAATAAAACCTACATAAAACTTAAGTACTTGTGTTTTAATTCTCTAGTTAAGGTAAGAAATCCAGAGTGTTTTGGTAATCATTTAAGAGTTTTAATCTCAGTTTTATTATTAAAAAGTTACTGCTAATTTTATCTTTAAAATATGCTGTAAACATGTAATTCATACAATAAGCCTAACATTTACTGTGTGCTTGCTATGTGCCAGGTATGGCTATAAGCATTTTCATCCATTCTTATTTGTGTGAATGCACCTGAAGAAAGTCTCAGGAAAAAAGGATAATGAAGTTTTTGAGTAACTCTGGATTACTGTTGGTGCTTACCTTTTCCCGACATTCATCTGTAACCAGTTTACAGTTGTCAATGATATCTAAAGAGAAAAAGCAAAACAGGCATTAAAAGAAATACTCTGATGCTACTGCTATCATGAATAATTTTTTTTTTTTTTTTTGAGACAGAGTCTCATTTTGTTGCCTAGGCTAGAGTGAGTGCCGTGGCATCAGCCTAGCTCACAGCAACCTCAAACTCCTGGGCTCAAGCAATCCTCCTGCCTCAGCCTCCCGAGTAGCTGGGACTATAGGCATGCGCCACCATGCCTGGCTAATTTTTTCTATATATATTAGTTGGCCAATTAATTTCTTTCTATTTATAGTAGAGACGGGGTCTCGCTGTTGCTCAGGGTGGTTTCCAACCCCTGACCTTGAGCAATCTGCCCACCTCGGCCTCCCAGAGTGCTAGGATTACAGGCATGAGCCACCGCGCCGGCCTCATGAATAATTTTTTAATCAACTTTTCTTTTAGGTTTAAATACTAAGTCAACCAGCATAGTTATTACAACTTTTGGTCTCAGTAGTATAATTCACTTGGCGTTGCTAGAGAAGCTAGAGGTTTTAAAATATGAGATTTAATGGTTGCTCATTTAGTATCACTGACCTAGACAATGCAATGTCTTAAACATTGTGAACTGTTTCCATTTTCTTCTTTATGATTAAATAGAAGAAAATAGATATTTGAAATATACATTAGTAAAAAGATAGCAAATGGTTAACGTAAAAATCTGGAAAATACAGATCACTGCAAAGAAGGAAACAAAAATTACTGTTTTACCATTCAATAATAAATCACTAATATTTTAGTATATTTCCTTTCCATCTTAAAAGTTTTATCTATATTAAATTAAATAAGAGATCATACCAAATCTGTAAGGTTGAATTTTTCCTTTTTCATTTCACACTGTAGCCTATATTTTTCCATGTAATTTTTTTTTTTTGAGACAGAGTCTCTCTTTGTCACCTGGGCTAGAGTGCCATGGCATCACTCTAGCTCACAGCAACCTCAAAGTCCTGGGCTCAAGTGATCCTCCTGCCTCAGCCTCCCTGGTATTACAGGCACATACCACCACATCCAGCTAAATTTTCTATTTTTAGTAGAGACGAGGTCTCGTTCTTGCTCAGGCTGGCTGGTCTTGAACTCCTGAGCTCAAGTAATCCTCTTCTTGCCTTGGCCTCCCAGAGTGCTAGGATTATAGGCATGAGCCACCATGCCCGGCCTCGTGAATAATTTTTTAATCAACTTTTCTTTTAGGTTTAAATACTAAGTCAACCAGCATAGTTATTACAACTTTTGGTCTCAGTAGTATAATTCACTTGGCATTGCTAGAGAAGCTAGTGGTTTTAAAATATGAGATTTAATGGTTGCTCATTTATTTATGAGACAGAGTCTTGCTCTGTTGCCTGGGCTAGAGTACAGTGGCGTCATCATAGCTCACTGCAACCTCAAACTCCTGGGCTCAAGCAATCCTCCTGCCTCAGCCTCCTGAGTAGCTGGGACTACAGGTGCACGCCACCACGCCTGGCTAATTTTTCTATTTTTTTGTAGAGATCAGGTCTGGTTATGTTGCTCAGGTTGGTCTTAAACTCCTGTCCTCAAGCAATCCTCCTGCCTCAGTCTCACCAAGACCTAGGATTATAGGAGTAAGCCACTGCACCTGGCCCTTAGAAATAATTTTATGTTGTGCTTAGTTACCACTGTTTTTGTGAATAAAGCTTCCCCCCTCCCCCTACATTTGGGATTACTTACTTAGAAATTCTCCAAAGAGGAATTACTGGGGTAAAGAGTGTGAAATTTTTAGCAGTTTCTAAATAGAAATGATTTTTTAATTCATACATGTACTAAAACTAAATTGAAAGGGCTTATTTCACTGTTTCCTGGTCAGATTGAAGAGTATTATCTAAAAACTCACCGCCAAGTTGGAAAACAAAAAGGCATAGTTATCCTAGGAATATAATTTAACTTGAGATTTATTGAATGACTAGGTTTTACTTAATTTATACATAAATGATGCAAAGACTTGATAAAATTCCCAGAAAACTGAGTATTAGATAAATACTGTTTCTTTAGGTTAACTCAGAGTATAAAATGATTTAAATATTTATTCAATAAAGTACAGACCATATTTGGCGAAAAATATTTTGGAAGGCTCCATTCCCTTTGGTACCAAAACCATACATGAAAATAGCCATTTATATACAACATGGGGAAAAAAATCCTCCAAATATAATAAGAAAAGCAGGTCTCCTCACATCCAATATCCAAAATGAATTTTAAAAAACTCAATCATCTCACAAGTAACATAAGTAAAAAAGGATCTTAAAATAATGATTACATACTTTTATGAATTTTTTTAAGAATACCACTTACTGTGACATGTTGGGCATCTTTTCCCTTTGTGGGAAAATCTACTGAGTGTCATATCAAAGTCTGTTATTATCTGTTAAGAAACAGGAGAAAGGCATTATGTAAACATAGCCACCACGGGCAGCATTTCCATGTGCTACCCAAATACATACTGCATGCTTTCCTATATGCATGGGACTGTGCTCAGTCCTTGGCCCCCGTTGTAGGTTATTTTCTCTACACTGAGTTTTATCACACAATTCATTTATAAAATCCTGGGAATGACCTTAACTACAAGGTGCTATCTTAAGTGTCCTAGCATTGTCATCAATTAAAATATGATTATTCAGCCATAGAAAAGGATACAAAAAATAAAATACAAAATAGAAAACCAATAAACAAAATCAAAATATATATATAAAAAAGGAATGCCATCATATGCAGCAACATTGCTAAGTCTAGAGGTCATTAGGTTAAAGTAAAATAAACCAGGCACAGAGAGACAAATACTGCATGTTCTCACTCATATGTGGGAGGTAAAAGAGTTGATCTCATGAAGGTAGACAGAATGATGGTTACCAGAGGCTGAGAAAGGCAGGAGGGTGGGGGAATGAAAATAGGTTGGTTAATGGGTATAAAATTATAGTTAGATAGGAGTAAGTTCTCGTGTTCAATTGCAGAGTAGGGTGATTATAGTTAATGATAATTTATTGTACATTTCAAAATAGCTAGAAGATTTGGAATGTTCTCAACACAAAGAAATCATAGATGTTTGGGGTGATGGATATCCTAATTATCTTGATTTGATCATTACACATTGTATGCATGTATCACAATATAACATGTACCTCATAAATATGTATAATTATTATGTATCAATTTTAAAAACTAGAAAAAAAAAAAAAAAAGAGCCAGGCATATAATCCCAGCACTTTAGGAGGCTGAGGCAGGAGGATCACTTGAAGTCAAGAGTTCAAGACCAGCCTGGGCAACACATTAATGAACAGACCTTGTCTCTATGAAAAGTTAAAAAACAAAGTTAGTCAGGCATGGTGGCTACTTGGGAGGCTGTTGTGGGAGGGTCGCTTGAGCCCAGGAATTTGAGGCTGCAGTGAGCTATAATCAGGTACCACTGTACTCCAGCCTGGGTGACATAGTGAGACCCAATCTCTATAAAAAAAAAAAAAAAAAAAAATAATTTTTTTAGTTGAATATCCATATTGTTGGTTTAATTTACATTTAAAATATTCCTTTCAAAAAGAGAGACAATTTCTTGAAAAAAATCAATTATCTTCTTTATAACATTACATCTTAATTTGAACTACTATGATTTATTTAAACATCGAAGAGCAATTTGAAACTACATACTTTTAATATTATTCTTAAAATGGTTTAGTATTTATATACAGTATTAGTTAACTTAATACTAATGAAAACCCAAGATTATCTCAGGTTATTAATTTTTGTTTGTTTTTCCAATGCAGTATTCTGTGTGTTTTACAACTCTAGATGTGTTTTGTAGATTTTACATCCCTAAAGGACAGGCAAAAATTGTCTAAACTTGATTTAATCAGATTTTATCAAAACAGAACATGACTGAGTCTGCTTGAACATTAAAAATGAAAGCTTAATAATAAAGGCTTCTTCTTTCTTTTTTTTGGAGACAGGGTCTCACTCTGTTGCCCGAGCTAGAGTGCCACGGCATCAGCCTAGCTCACAGCAACCTCAAACTCCTGGGCTCAAGCGATCCTCCTGCCTCAGCCTCTGGAGTAGCTGAGACTACAGGCATGTGCCACCATGCCCAGCTAATTTTTTCTATATATTTTTAGTTGGCCAATAATTTATTTCTATTTTTAGTAGAGGCAGGGTCTAACTCTTGCTCAGGTTGGTTTTGAACTCCTGACTTTAAGCGATCCACCCGCCTTGACCTCCCAGAGTGCTAGGATTACAGGTGTGAGCCACCATGCCCGGCAATAAAGGCTTCTTGTTAATTGTTCACCTGAAGTTTGGCAGCTCCTCCTTTGATAAGTCCACAGATAATTTCTTCTACTTTTGTAGGGTTCTTGATGTGAACTGAATTTTTCTGGAATTCTGGCATCTAAAAAGTAGAAAGAAATTAATTAATTATTTTTAATTCCTCTTTCTCCAGGTTCCTTTGATACCAAGCAGAAGCTTAAATTATTTAAAGATATAAAAATGTTAAGGCATTATTTTTAAAAAGTCACCATATTATATTACCATTTATACACACAAAAGATGTTAAAAGCATGTCAGTAGTTTCCATCTAGGAGATTACAACAAAACTACATTTGTAATTCAATTACTTTATAGGAAATTGTAATTTTTCTAATTATAAAAGTAATACATGCTTACCATAAAAGTAACAGTAAAAATATAGAAGAGAAAATAAAAATTGCCTGCAGTCATCCTACATGAAGATAAATGACATTTAAATTTATTTTCTACTACTTTCATTGCATATACTTTTGCATCTGGCTTTTTAAAATTAATATTGCATTATATATAGTTACAAAAAATTTTTAAACAGAATTCGTTAATTGAAATTAAATCCCAGAATTGAATGGAAAATACCTTTGAACTTTGTGATAAAGAGTTATTATATTTGTGTCTCCTTAAAATTTAGATGGCATACATATATATATATATTTAAAATGTTTCTGAGTAGAAAGGAAACAAATATTACATGGTTATTCCCCACAAGTTAGTCTTTGTACAGAGAGTTAAAATATATTTAAAATATTTAAAAATTTGAAAAGTTGCTTCAAGATCTTTGTTCCTTTTTACTGTATTATGTTCCAAATAACTTATTGGTATCAATTTTACAACAGATTTATTTCAAATTAAGATCACTACTAAACAGTATTACCCTAGACAGGGTTGTACATGACTATAATCCCAGACACTCCAGAGACTGAGGTGGGAGGATCGCTTGAGCCCAAGAGTTAGACACCAGCCTGGGCAACATGGGGTGAGACCTCATCTCAAAAAAAAAAAAAAAGTATTAGACCACCTGGGTTTAGGCTGCTACTAAGCTGGTTTATTGGTTTATTAAGACTTTAGAGTTGCTCAACAATTTAATATTAAGTATTATTTCTTGTTTCTACCTTATCACAAATAGTATGAAACTGATCAGAGGAAAATCAGTGCAAGAAGCACAGAGCTCTTATAGCACAAGTACAATACAACTTGGAGGACAACATTATGGATTATTTTCTAGTAAGTTACACAGTATAGATAACAATAGTGCCTCAAGTCAAGGTTCTCACTTGTTTGTATTAGATAATCTTTATTTATGTGTATGCTTTTATTCTGGGTATATTATTGCCAATATTAACATAGTTCATGTGTGTTATAGACATGGTTACAAAAAATTCCCTAGTCCTTCTATCTTTGCTATAAGAGAATCTGAACCAGCTTAAGTCTGTAAGGTTCCATGTTGTTCCCATATAATGGACAAAAGTAGAAAAATTGGAAAAAGGTCTAGAATGTTTTCCAAAATAACAGAAGTATACAGAAAAGAGAAGTGCTAAAATTAAAATTTTCTCCATGAATGAAAGACCTAAACCTACAATATACTTAATTTTTAAAGGCTATATTTAAATAGGATAGATGGCCTGCAGTGCAACTAACTTTGATATAGTGATCCTTTTAACTTAATTAGATAAGTTTCAATGGCTTAAAAGTTATCTAAATATTTATTTTACATTGATTTTTCAATAGATGAGAAAAGCAAATAGACACTAGTTCTTAATTCCCTTTTTCATTCATTAATCTATTCACTCAATCAATATTTACCATGTATTTACTTTGTGCCAGACACTCGTGTTAGAAGAGATATGATGATATGCAGCTTAACACTGTTTTCCTGTTGAGTTTTAGGCACTATTGCTGTTTGGAATATCACTTCCGTAGCTCCCTTACAAATACTTCAGCTAGTAAGTTTATCTCTTCACAATTAAATTTTGTTCTTACCTTAGCCTTAACTGGCAGGTGCATAGTAATCATCATATGCTTGATTCAATAACCAATTCATTATAGTGAAAACAATACAGGATATATGCCACTGACTTAATTTTCACCAAGAATATTAAATATTTTATTTCAGTGTGTCCATACTGAGTAAGGTGTCCTGTCTCAAGAAATCACATCCTCAAGTTTCAGATAATGGATAGGAGAATAGTACCAAGACAAGTTCAAAGTAGGCTGGTTTCTGCTAGGCTAACAACTATAACACTTGGTTTAGTCTAAATCACCAGGGATGAAAGAGAACCAGTGGCTAGAGGCATTGGTAGCTCTGTTTTCCAACAACATACAACCACTGATCTTCAGATAAATAAATAGTGAATATCCAAATAGCACTGGGAATGAAATAACAGCGATGATAACAAATCAAAGTGCAGCGACTTTCTCTACAGAACACAACACAGGGTAAAGGAAATAGGTATAAGAAATATGAAAATGACCATTATACCTGCCTTGGTTATATGGTATACTACACTCCTCTCTTGCAATACACATACAATGTCACTGAAGTATGTAAGAAATACTTAACAAGAACTGGAGATACTGGGGATTTTATTCAAATATTTTAGAATGTAGCATAACAGAATCAAAGACTACCTTATGAAATATGTCAAAGAGTATCAGAATATCAGCACATTGCAGTATGATGAACTGCATCACATACTTTTGTTACCTCCACAAATTCCTTCCTTCCATATTCCTCTTGAACAAAAATAGACCTGGTTTGGTGGCACACAAAATAATGATACTTCAAATCTGAAGGTTAAGTTATTTTGAATTCTCTGAAAACTTTTCAATTTGAGTATGATACCATTTTGTATGATATAAGGAAAATAAGGGCGTAAAAATTTCCATCATTTTTCGTAAAAAGAAAAATTCATTTTATAGTAAGGCCATGATATAAGATGTTGGAGAAGAAGCAAAGCCTTCCTGACAAGAATCAGGGTATGTTGACTGGAGCCTAATCTGAATCAACACTAATTAAGAAAGCCTTAATGTACATTTATTCTGACTGATCTTTTTTTTTTCTTTTCTTTTTTTTTTTTTTTCCTGAGACAGAGTCTCACTCTCTTGCCTGGGCTAGAGTGCTGTGGCCTCAGCCTAGCTCACAGCAACCTCAAACTCCTGGGCTCAAGCAATCCTCCTGCCTCAGCCTCCCGAGTAGTTGGACTACAGGCAAGTGTCACCATGCCTGGCTAATTTTTTCTATTTTTAGTTGTCTGGCTAATTTCTTTCTATTTTTAGTAGAGACGGGGTCTCACTTTTGCTCAGGCTGGTCTTGAACTCCTGAGTTCAAGCAATCCTCCCACCTCGGCCTCCCAGAGTGCTAGGATTATAGGCGTGAGCCACCACGTGAGGCCCTGACTGATCTTTAATATATTATATTTGTACAGATGAATTTAACTTCTTAATCATTAGTCTACTTCCATATTCAAAAAACAATGATTTCTAAAGAAACTGATTTGAGGCTGGGTGTAGTGGCTCATGCCTGTCCAGCACTCTGGGAGGCCCAAGCAAGAAAATCACTTGAGTTTGAGACCAACCTGGGCAACACAGCAAAACCCTGTCTCTTAAAAGAATTGATTTCAAAGTTATGCCATTTTATTCACAAATCGATAGCAATATTAGATTATTTAATATTATCTTTTTGATACATTGGGATAAGATAAACATGAGTATCTCCATACTGCAGTTATGAAATTTCTGGGTGTGGTTTGGTATCACCAATCCAATGATAATGTCCCAACTAAAAATCATCCTAATTCTCAGGATGAGATTAGGACAACTTCAAATGTTTAATTGTTTAAACTAGGATTTAAAACTATAACATTAATTTTGATTAAAAAAAGACTTACCTCTATAAAGAAAAATAGCACACAGATGCATTCTATTCTAATAATGTACTGTTATTTTTAAACTAAAAATTTAAAAATCAACTAGGTTACTGTAAATCATAATGTACAGAGAATACAATTCATATTTTAACCAAAGACAAAAAAATTACTTGTACTTTTTATATATATGTGAGTATATAATATACTATATATATATACTCATCTCTGTGTTTTTTTTTTTTTATTTGAGACAGTCTCCCTGTGTTGCCCAGGCTAGAGTGCCGTGACGTCAGCCTAGCCCACGGCAACCCCAAAGTCCTGAGCTCAAGCGATCCCCCTGGCTCAGCCACCTAAGTAGCTGGGACTACAGGTGCACACCACCACACTTGGCTAATTTTTTTCTATTTTTAGTAGAGATGAGGTCTCGCTCTTGCTCAGGCTGGTCTCCAACTCCTCAACTCAAGCGATCTTCCCACCTCAACCTCTCAGAGTGCTAGGGTTACAGGTGTGAGCAACCATGCCTGGCCCTCTGTGAATTTTTAATTATCTTAATATTACACTATATTTTCCTGGATATGGCCCACATAAAAATTAGTTTAAATCACTTAAGAATTTCAGTCAGCACTGTTTGAGGAAGGCATCTTTCAAGAGCAACTTGTTTCCATTTAGAATTCACTAACTGTCTTTCCTCTAGACATCCTGCTGGCCCCACCTGCTGCTCTCCTGGAAGCTCTTACTGGGATTTCCTTAGTTTCCACCCTGCTGGCCGCCCTACAGAGCCTTCCAGACAGTAGGGTGTGCTTGTAGTCCCAGCCACCCGGAGGCTGAGACAGGAGGGTCGCTTGAGCCAAAGAGACTACCCTGGACAAAAGTGAGACCCTGTCTTAAAGTATTTTAAAAAATAAAACACTATTATGTGGAAAAAAATAAAAAAGAATTTCAGTCAGATGGTTTATATTTGGTACAGATAAAAGACCTCATTCTGTATTGGTACGAAGGAGTGGAACTACAATTTTTACACAACTACATTAAAAGTAAAGATTTAAATGCACCTATTCAGACTGGTGTATTTACCCACATACATAGATGATTTTATAATTTATTTAAAGGATTGTACATTAATAAATTTTAGTGATAACCGTCTTCCCTGCCTGTCTCCACATTAAGGCCAATTCTTTCATTCCTTCACGACATACAGTCATTAAGTGTAAGGCACTGCTTTAGCAGCTCTGTAAGAAATATTAATACAAAAGTTTTAATAAGGTATACATCTTACACTCAAGGCACATGTTCTCTAATGTGAATCGTAACATAGAAACCCAAATAGTAATACATTGCCAAGATGTCCAGATAAAATATAAGAGGAACAGAAGAAATGAAGATTACTTCTGTTGGGACTAAAGGAGAAAGAGACAACTGAGCTAGGCTTTGGAAGAGAACAGGGTTTAGCTACGCTGAGATTGGAGAGGAGTCAAAATGCAGGGTCTAATGTGGGGAAAAAGAGAAATGGCTGTTTGTCTAGAACGTAAGTGTGTGTATGAAAAGTCTGGAAAGAAAGATTTGGAGCCAGATCTTGAGAAGTGAAGAATATGAAGTTGTCAACATAAAAGATCTATCAACATTTTTAGAAAAGCAAAGGCAAAAATTGTCTAAATTAATGCAATCCAAGTAGAAAACAAAACACCTTTTGTCTTGTTTTCCTTCACCAGTCTGAATGAACCACTGTTGAATTGAGTACATTGCTACTTGCTTCTAAAACAGAAATGTGTTACCGGGTTCTAGGACCCAAGTAACAAAGTACGTAAAGGGTACCATTAACATTACATTGTTTTTATAGTAGGAAATTCTCCTATTACTTGTATTCATTTTGGTTTAAAAGAAAAGTTGACTCGAATAAGAAAATGAGTTTTAGACCACATAGAAATATGTTTAATCCCACTGAATCAAATGATTATGCAATGGATGCAAAGATCACATCTATGTTATTATGTTGAACCATATGAAGTGGGCAATATTGGACTATATTTGACACATAAAAACAATTTCATATGCTTCAACCTAACAGCAATAACTAAACTGATAATGACTTAATCACCACTTTTAGTCAATTTTCACCTTGATCATACACTGACGGAGGAAAGATAAGTTGAACAAAAGATGTATTAAGTATGATACAATGCTGTTTGCTTGCTAAGTCATGTTCTAGTTTATAGGCCAGAAAAAGCTAGAGAGAAAGAGAAGGATGAAAAAATAAAAAGAAGAGAACAGGAAAAACAACAACAAAAAGAACAGAAAGAGAAAATAAGAAAGAGATCATAGGGCAGTTGTCCTCTTTAAAAGAGAGGATTTTTTTAAAATGTTGTTTTTTAAGATTTTACCATTGTGAATATGGAGAATAAATGTAATTTCTTTGCACACATACAAGTAAATATGCTACTTAAATGGTTAAAACACTAACATAGGAGATAATACTTACTGAGTGCTTAAGATGTGCTATTACGAACTTTATATAGTTTTTCATTAAGTACTATTGAGGTTGGTGGTTTCACATTCATTTCTTAAAGATAAGATTGTCCTCATCCAATATATCATAGCTATTAAGGAATGAGTTTGAGATTTGAAGCCAGTTGTGACTTCAAAGCCTTTATTTTTCCTACCTCATCCTGGTGTATATAATGCAATGAACTCTATTGTTGTGCAACAAATATTTCTTAAAAATTTGAATGCTTGTCATTTAAATTCAGAAGCCCCAAAATATTTCATAGTATATGATTTATGTGTGTTATTGCTGAGCAAAGAAAATTTAGCATAAAAAGGAATAGGGTAACCATTTTATATTCTGACAAGCACTATAATGCTCATTAGAGTTCAAGCAAAACATTTAAAGATAATTTGAAATTCAATTCCATCAGTATTTGAAGTTCTAGTGTGTGTCAAGCATTGTGAAGAAAGATCTGTATAAAATTTCAGTCCCATAATTATCTGGTTAGAGATAGAGGTTAAAGTGGTGAAGATTCACCATTAATAAATGGAACTGGAAATATTCAAATACCCACCATTTTCACAAGTACAGCGGACTCTCGATTAGTCATTTCTTGGTTATCCAATCTTCTGGATTTTCCCAGGTGATGTCACAGCAAAAGAGAAAAAGAAAGGTACACGTGACACACATAAATTTCAGGCTCTTCCTGTATGCTGATAACACACTAAGGTGGTACTTTTGGTATGATTTAAATGCCAAATTATTATGAGCATTTTTTTGTTTTTTAAGAAGCTCAGCAAAGGTTTTACTCTATCTGGCATAGTTTTGGGTTAAACATTTTGTATGGAAAATTTGAAGCTCCCCTATAAAAAGAAATTAATATAGTGTTAAGAAAATTTGAATAAGGAATTAAAATGAAGTAAATATTTGCCAAAAAACACTCCACTTTATTGCAAGGATATTTTATCAACATTTTTTTTTTTCTTTCTCTTTTGGAGACAGAGTCTCACTCTGTTTCCTGGGCTAGAGTGGCATGGCGTCAGCCTAGCTCACAGCAACCTCAAATTCCTGGGCTCAAGCAATCCTCCTGCCTCAGCCTCCCGGATAGCTGGGACTACAAATATGGGCTACTATGCCTGGCTAATTTTTTCTATTTTTAGTTGTCTAGCTAATTTCTTTCTATTTTTAGTAGAGATGGGGTCTCGCTCTTGCTTAGGCTGGTCTCAAACTCATGAGCTCAAGCAATCCTCCCGCCTCGGCCGCCCAGAGTGCTAAGATTACAGGCGTGAGCCACCGAGCCCGGCCTCAACATTTTCATTACATGTCAGGATGAAGTTTGTGGGAAAATTGTATGTTGCTACTTCTGAATGAATGAAGGAATAGATAAATGAAACAAAGTAAGGAGAAACATAATATACAAAAGCCCAATTTTTCTTTAATTTTCTTATATTAAAATCTTTGAGGATATGATATGACTAAAATATGAGTTATGTTTGAAGCTAGCATAGTGTGTGGCACAAAATAGGTATGTGAGTGTCCACTGAATAAGCATTTTAGGAGTCTGGGTGAAGTTTATATGTATCTATTTGTCAAACTAAAAGCAGCAACCTCAAACTCCTGGGCTCGAGCGATCCTTCTGCCTCAGCCTCCCAAGTAGCTGGGACTACAGGCATGTGCCACCATGCCTGGCTAATTTTTTTTTTATATATATATCAGTTGGCCAATTAATTTCTTTCTATTTATAGTAGAGACGGGGTCTCGCTCTTGCTCAGGCTGGTTTTGAACTCCTGACCTTGAGCAATCCGCCGGCCTCGGCCTCCCAGAGAGCTAGGATTACAGGCGTGAGCCACCGCGCCCGGCCTAAAAGCAGCAGTTTTTAAAATACCCCTCACCATTATTTTTTTTTCTCTTTTGTAGTATAAATCTTAGGGAAAATTACTAATTTACTTTTATTCCATAATGACTTTATTTTTACTTTATTCCAGGTAAATAAAATTTTATAATCAAAGCATTATTTAGAAAGGGCAATTTAGTTGACAGGGGGAAATATCTGGCTTTTCTTTTTCTTTTTTGGAGACAGAGTCTTACTCTGTTGCCCAGGCTAGAGTGCCATGGCATCAGCCTAGCTCACAGCAACCTCAAACTCCTGGGCTTAGGCAATCCTCCTGCCTCAGCCTCCCAAGTAGCTGGGACTACAGGCATGCAACACCATTTCCAGCTTATTTTTTCTATATATTTTTAGTTGTCCATCTAATTTCTATTTTTTTAGTAGAGACAGGGTCTCACTCTTGCTCAAGCTGGTCTCGAACTCCTGACCTCAAACGATCCACCTGCCTCGGCCTCCCAGAGTGCTAGGATTACAGGCATAAGCCACCGCACCTGGCCTGGATTTTTCTTAAACTCTAGTAATAGACTTAGATATTATATCTGTGTTCTTTTAATTAAAAGGTGTTATAGGAGATATATCAAATGTTCTCTAATTCTAAAATTAAGTGCCTTCTTCCACTCTAAGTCCACGAAATTGCAAAATGTCTTTTCCCCATCTCAGAAAGCCTGCTAGTTAAGTTGATGGTCTCATAATTGATGGCATCTTAGAGTTGAGTAAACAATATTTCCAAATAGTAAGAAGACACTTGTAATTTTTCACACCTGAGAAATAATGTAATCTATAGAAGTATATACATGTGTGTATACACAGACATACTACTATACAACTCATCAAGCATTTGATCACCATCCCTAAATTTTAATTATAATGGTATTCTGGAGATCAGCAGTCTTTAGTTTAGATGATTATAGTCAAATTTAAGTAAAGTTTCCTTGGTCTAACTTCTTTCTGTCAGTCATCTATCTTTAACAAGAAGGTATCACAGAATTTGCGTGCAAGTCTGTTTCTTCATTTATAGAAATTAAAGCAAACTACTAAATGCTTATGGCATTATTTTGATATTTAATATCAGAAAAGAGGTCTAGATTTCTCAAAAGGCACTATTCAAAACCATTTTATTAGCTTGAAAAAAAGGAAGAATGTGGAAAAGTACAGTAGTGTGTTTATGAAAATATCTCATAATCTGTGAAACATTTGAAAAGCCCAAAGGAAAACAAAATTCAAGCAGTGAAGAATTAATTAAATTCATTTTAATATCTGAGACTCTAAGATCTTTTTCTTATACAGTATGGTAGCAGAATTACTCTCCAGCCTCTACCTTCAAGTATGTTTTTTGGAGCAATCATTTTTAATTTAAAAGGAAAAAAAAAAAAAGTACTACTAGGTAAAAGAATAATCTCTCATGGTCTCACCAAACTTTATATAAACAAAACAAAGTGTAATCACAAATTTGATATTGGCTAATTTTAGGGCATTTTTAAAATAAGCAAACCTAACAATTCATGGATAGTATGCAAATTTCAACTGAAGATCTTTCATCCTCATTGGTAATCTGACCAGAATTTATCTTTGTTCAAACATAATCTCATGTAAAGTGATACTGCAGTGCTTATATAAAAATCACTCTGAGCTCTGTCATTTAAAAAAGTATAAAGACTAAAGCATAAATGTCAGCATTCTGGCATTATTCTAAGGAAGACACTAAAAATTAGGGCAGGGTATTTTTAAACCTTTAAACCAATAGGCTTGTAAACCTACACCTGGTTTATAAAGTTCTGGCTTACTTTGCCAACGGTCATCTGTTGCAGATGCTTCAAGAGAAGAGTTGCTGGAAAAAACACATCAAGTGTAGAAGACATGTTCAAAAATAGAAAATAGTACCCTTGAACTATGAACTCTCTTCAAAGGAAGTTTTTGAAGTCGTCTTTGAAGTCTTTGAACGTGGACTGGGAAATGTGGAAATTGGAAAATAATTACTTTGTGTACTTTCTGTATGAGATTAAGGTTTCTACTCTAGCAGTAGAAACCTTCATGACAAGGAATATGTAGGACAAGGCTAGAGACTGAAGCAAGAGGTAAGAAGAACTTCGCTTAAATAGCACAAGCTTGATAACTGAAAATTTATGGTATTAATTCAGTTATGGTATTTCATTCTGAGATGATAGTTTACAAATCAATTAATGAAAACTGGTATGTCTACATGAAAAATAATGTACTTGCTTTAAAACAAGTCTTAAAGTATCTGAATGCAAACTGAATACTTTTAAAGGCCTACTTGACTCTTAGAAAATGAAAAAGATTAAATTCGTTACCATAGCTTTAAAAGTTGTGACTCTGCTTTAATTCTGATACTTGCAGAAATATTTAAACTACATTGGTAGGATAATAAAATTATGAATGGTAAACTGTTACTTACATAAGAAATGATAACATTAATATATATTACTATAATATGGACAGGGTATCAGCAACAGTACTGATAATGAATGAATTTTTACTGCACTTTTCCAGCAACCTAACCTATTTGTCTTAAGCTTCAGTTTTTAAAAATGTTACTTTCTTAGGGTGATTAACACAAACTATTAAGTTTGATTTTCCTGTAAAATCAAACTATTAAGTTTGATTTTCCTGTAGGATTGTAATCATTTTCTTGGGGCATTTAAACAATTCTCCCTAATCAGATTTTCAACTCAGCAATGGGAAAAAAAAATAACACAAACTGCAAAACGAAACTTGCTCCATACAGACAGGAAACAAAAATTGAAACTGAATAGCAAAAGGTGGGAGGGAAGAGGAGGATATAAGAGGAAAGAGGAAAAAATAGATTTCAATGGCTAGTTATTTAAAAAATGGCAATTTAGGCAGAATTAAAAAAAAATTTAAAAAAGAAAGAAAAAATAAAATAATAAAAGAAAAAAAATTTAGCAATTTATACCAATTTTCTTAAATGGTAAAACAGTTTCTCAGTCAGAATTTTATGGATATTTATTAAACAATTTCAATGCTTAGAATTTACTCTATCCTTTCCACCCTTAGTACCTCTAATATCTAATAGCATTTTTCAAGATAAATAAACCAAGGCACATGGAAATTAAGTAAATTATACTAACTACCCTTAAGGCACTTTGAGTTCTTCTGTCCTTGGATTTGCCCTAGAACAGCAGCATAGGTGATGAGCAATATCCAGAGATTCTGGGTTTGGTGCAGGCTGCCAATAAAAACCAAGCAAACTGCTTTAAGAAACAGTCATGCTACATGATCTGATTTTTCTGATTTAGAGAAAAAAAAACAAACTATAAAATGTGGAGGATTCAATTATTTAAATCTAACTTACCCATAGTATTCTAGGCTTTTACTACAAGATACATGTCTAAATCTTAATTTTCAATATATGATTTGTTATAAATCAGTAATCCAGATTTTTATCAATTCATAAAACAGACCAGTATAATCTCATTCCATAATATCATGGATAAAGCTCACAAAATAAAGGCACAAAATAAAAATTAACAATCTTTATTACTAGCCATAATAAACTGTTCCTAACCCTAATGACACAAAGCATGCAGCTATCAGCAAAACCAAATCACACAGCAACTGAATGAACAACAAAATTGAATCTTACAGTGTTTTCCCCCAACTTGGAAAGACACTTCAAAGAGTACTTTTCTTTTTCTTAACATCTACACGTCAAACAAGAAGCTCTTAAAATTAGAATGTATAAAATGAAATTTTTGAGACCTTAGACTCTTCAACATTTTGCATGTTCATATCTTTGCAAACTATAAACTTCTGCATTATACTGGATCATTCTTTTATTTCCCAAGTTTATATTTTAAAATGCCCCAAATTTCAGCAAGATATAGAATCAAGTAGGAATCACGTAAAGTTAAACAAGAGAAACTCATCTGTCTACATGAACTGTGCACACTTACCCTGAAGGTACCCGGATGAGCAACGCCAGCAAAAGAAAATTCTTCCTGTCTGAGCACTACTAATATAGCACAAGGTGCAACTGAGGGCGGTTCCAAAAGCCTTGACTAAGCCCTATGCAAAAATCTTGTGACGTAATACTGCACAGTGCTTTATTATGCTCTGGCCTACAGCTAGCTCTGAGCTAGCCACCAGTCTGTTTACAGAACATAATCAATTGAAATTACGTGATGGTTAAGAGAAGGTAAATCCGTACTATGAGAACACAGGAAACTGGCTCTGCAAAGAAAAAAGCCAACCTCTACATAACCCTTAAAAATATTCCTTTCCTCATGGTTTGTCAGTGGTTTCTCAGTGTAGCTATGACATGTGTACTGTTCTGTATAAATACTGTATTTTAATACAAAGTAAAAAAAAATTAGGCTGTGGTTGTTGGGGGTTGGGGGGAGGAGGATAGGGAGTTATTGCTCAATGGGTACACAGTTTCAGTTGGGGAAGATGAAAAGAGTTCATCATGGTGGTGATGGTTGCACAGCAATGTAAATGTACATAATGCCATGAAACTGTACATTTACAAATGGTTTTAAATGGCACCTTTTATATTGTGTATATTTTACCACATTTTTTCTTAAAAATCAGCTCATGAACAAAAAGACATGATGGCAATGGGATTTAAAATGATTTTTGTTTTTCTTCATATTTTCCTATATTTTTTGTAAACTTTCATAAGATCAGCCATAAAAAATCTAAAAATAAGAATTAATTACTAATTTGAAAAAGTTGGAAAAAAAATGTTACTTTCCTGTTAGAAATAAAAGCAAACGGTTGCAAAGAAAATATTTTTATTGGTTTTAAAGAGAATCAGTCTTATTTTTAACCTGAGTAGCAGAGTAGCAATATGCTAATAACATGTGTCAGGAACTGAGAGATAAGAGGCTGTGGGCTCTGAGAAGCTTTATCATTAGGAACATGCCTGAACTACACTTCTGTAAATAAATTTTTATATCAACTTTCTACTTTCCTCAGAGAAATCTAGCCCAGGCAATATTTCGGTAATCAACTATGTGAAGTATCATACTCTACGAAAAACAAACAAAAAATCCAAAAATTGCCTTTTAAAAATGTCACTAACAAATTATCCAAATGTAGCATCTACTAAATGTGAAACTTGTGGTGCTGCCATATTATTTTAATAAGATGGGAAGATTCATAACAAACATTCCTCTAAGTGGAAAACCTATTATATCTAATTAGTAAGAGAGACTTAAGGGCAGCAAAGGTGTTCCATTTTGAAAATATTTCTGTCTTAGGTACAAAAATGATGACTTAACTGTCCTTTGATATATTTCTATAGTTAGCAATGACAGGAATTTGAAATATATCACTTTGAAAGAAGACACACAGATAGACCATCTTCACCAACAAAGAATGTTGGAATCATAGTTGTACAAACTTTTCAGAGAGCTATTTAGAAATGTTATTAAAAGCCTTAGGAATATACATTCCCTTTCACACACCAATTTTTTTGTCTAGTAATTTATCCTAAGGAAATAAGGCAGCACACAAAAATTTAGTTGTAAGGATATACACTGCAGATTTGTTTCATAATGCTGGGAAACTGCAAACAAACTAAATGCCCAATACCTAAATGTTCACTAATATAGGAGAGGTGAATAAATTGTGATATACACACAAAATATAAAGATATACTGCTCTTAAGAACGAATCTTATGAATAGCTAAAATATATTGTGTTTACCATGTACCAGACACTTTTAAACACTTGACAATTCCTTGTCTCATACAATACTTATAACAACCCTAGAAGGTTTGTGCTATTATTATCCTCATTTTACTGGTGAGTAAATTATGCCTTATAGCTGATAAGTGGTAGAAATGGATTTAAACTCAGCTCTAACTCCAGAATCCATGCTTGCAAATCACTGGACGGTACTGCTCCATGAGATAAGTATTTACAGCCACAATGAAACGTACATGCTCTACTACTGAGTGAAAAAAGTTATAAGAATATCTGCACCAAGAGTCCAATCTGGGGAGGAAAGATCTTTATATAAATATAGGAAAGTCTAAAATAGAATACATAAAACACTATCGGTAACAGAATTAAGGGGAAATTTTTACATCCTGAGTTTTATAAAACAAATGAGTTCCTTGGGAAATAAAAATGATGTTTAAATTGTTATAAAAGTAGCATAAATTATATCCATAGTCAGAAAAGAAAATTAAAAAGCCTGTCAACATCATATGGATGGTTTGGAACAATGTTTCCAAAGTAGAAAAGAGAAGCAAAAAATTCAGCCAGCTTATTGTACTCTAAAACAAAACACTTCATGGCATGAAAAGAAAGATGGCTAGTACCATAACAAGAAGAGTCTCTAAGGGTAGGTGGTTTTAGCTCTGCTGCTGTGTGCCTGTCCTGATAGTATGATACCAAGGAGAGCAGACAAGAGAGGGAATATGGGTGGCATTTCCTGCCTATAAGGGACTTCTTCATCATTTTAATTCCACCCAGTAACTGTGTGTGTGTGGTGGGGGTGGGTGGGGTATCCCTTGAGGAGGTACTAATGTTAGGTTGCAGTCTGAAATGTCAGTTCTCTGTGTGATCATGGCCGAAGAATGACCAGACACACCAAAGGCAAGCATGAAAATGAGGTTTATTGAGGAGAGAGAGAGGATTATAGAGCAAGAGCAAGATAAAGGTTTACAGAGTGAGAGACATACGCCACAGATGACATCCAGACCCACTGTTGCTCACAGCAACCTCAAACTCCTGGGCTCAAGCAATCCTTCTGCCTCAGCCTCCCAAGTAGCTGGGGCTACAGGTATGTGCCACCATGCCCAGCTAATTTTTTCTATATATTTTTAGTTAGCCAATTAATTTCTTTCTATTTTTAGTAGCAAAAGAGAGAAAAAAGGGCTTGGTTATGGTCTGGGTCTTGTTTTATAGTGTCTGAATTAGAATTTCCCTTGAGGCTCAAATGTCACCATGGAACCACTTTGATTGGACAGTTGGGATTTATATGACCTGAGTCTTACTGCACATGCAGATCTCCTATGAGCCTCTCTGAAAGCCCATTTGAGGGGTGGTGAACCTGAAAGGCACCCACTTTTGTCCCTAAGAGTCCTGGAATCCCTCACTATCTACCTAACGTTAATCCTCTCTTACTCTGTCAGAGTCCTGGAAGCTTGTGATGGCTCTTTATGTACATTCTAATTTAATCAGTACAATCTTACCAGAAAGATAATACTTCCCCTTTTTAATAGATAAGGAATCGGAAGTTAATAAGTCATTTACTACTTATGTGACTTATGTATAAGAGTTGGAACCTTTTCTTTTTAAAAGGAAAGCTTTATCATGCTGTTTCTAGGCAATAATATACACATAACATTTACATGAGAGAGTCTGAGAAGTCTACACATTTTGAAAATTTGCCACAGGAAAGGAAAAAGGATGCAAGCAAAACACTGAAACAAAGACGCTGAATTTTGTTTCAAACAGCTCTAGGGTACTTTTTTTGGAGAAAGGACAGAAAGGATCTTGCAGTAAAAAATAGTAAAGACAGGTTCTCTAACAGCACAATGGACTTTCATCTCTGTACACAATGACTGGGCCCCGTTGCCTTGGAGTTTCTTTACTCATTTACATAGAAACAATCACCCCTACCCTTGGTAATGTCAAACAGCAGAGAACTTCTCATACAGGACTCAAATCTTTGGAAGATTATTTTTCTCCCCTTACAGCAGTGAAACTGCATGTCTTTATCAATGGAGAAAAGAATATCCATTAATATTTCTGAGTAACTAAGAGCTTTTTAGCTTTTATTCAATCAACTTGAAAAACTAAGAATTATCACTTCATATTTTGCCATCAAAAAGTTCCTCAGAAATTCCAAACAAATAAATAACAAAGCCCACAAAAAATCATATCAATTTAAACCTAAGAACATTGTGGGTTTTTCTGGTCTTTAATATTGGAACAAAGAAGTAAAGAGAATAAAGGTATTGCATTAATAGTTACATGTTAAAGAAATCACATCATAATCCCACCATCCTGTAGTATGTATAGTTATTTCTCAACAATCCAACCTAAGACTTACTGACTAACTCATCATTTGGTTACCATACTCCAATTATCATTCCAACAAGGAATGTATTTTTAAACTCAAATCTGAATTTGACTGACACCCTAGGAAGTTATTCCAAGCAAAACAATGAAGTCATATAAGGAAGACAATTCAGTAGGTAGTGAGATGTAATAGTCTCCATACTGACTCTTACAAAACTTGTTCCTGCTAATTGCGGCATGATGTAAACAGAAAAGATGATTCTTTTTAAACATGCAAAACATCAGTCTAGGTATTTGCTCTCCAAACTTCCCCGAAGAAGATAACTGTGAACTGACTTCAATACTGTGATGACTGTTCAAAATAGAACTGAAACAAGATACTATAGATGTTTATATGAATATGGTTTAAAATATGTAAATAAGGAGCAGAAACAGAAATGGCATCAGTTTTGTTTGTTTGTTTGTTTGTTTAATAGAGACACTGGGTTTCCCGTTGCCCAGGCTGCAGTGCAGTGGCTATTTACAGGCACAATCCTACTGTTGATCAGCACCAGAGTTCTGACCTGCTCTGTTTCCTACCTGGGCCAGTTCACCCCTCCTTCAGGCAACCTGGTGGTGCCCTGCTCCCAGGAGGCCACCATATTGATGCCAAGTTTAGAGTGGATACCCTATGGGCATAGTGCACTACAGCCCCAGAACTCCGGGGCTCCAGTGATCCTCCCGCCTCAGCCTTCTGAGTAGCTGGGAGTACAGGCGTGCACCACTGCGCCCAGACTAAGTTTTTTTATTATTTAAAATCACTGCAAAAACTTATCCTACTAGGTGACTGTACCTGAAGCTGACTGCTGTATTTATAAATTACAGACATACATACATGAAAACTGAGAAAAACCTATGGTTCCCATCCCAATGTATTTCTTAAAAGCTTTGCAAAAATCTATATTAACTTAATTTTCAGAAACTCAAGTGAAGTACTTGAATATGGACTATATTTTTTTAACTTTCTTACTTAAAAAGCTTTAAATTCTGTAGTTTAAACTCATTTTAGAGGAAATGGCATTTATGTTGCAATAGGTAGATTAGATTAAAGAAAATAGGATATAAACAAAAGGAGTCTTTCCTAGCTCTCCTTTCAAATACACTATGTTTCAATATTTCCAGATGCTTAGCACTGAAACTGTTTTCATTTTATTGTAGCTGAGTCTCTGTGCTTGAAATGGAACAAGATGAAAAACTTTCTGTTTTAATTTTGGATTCCTTCCATATCAGACAGTTGCTATTCTGTCCACTGAAAAGACACAGTATTGTTTTTGTTATAGGTTACAACAAAAACCTATTTTATTATAGGTTATATTAAAAATGGTAAAAGGGTTACACAATTTAAACTTTTATTATTGGTGCCTTATATCTAGTACATCTAAATAAAGAATACAAAGTGACACTTTACTTACTATCCTCCCTTCTTGCTGTGCCAGATAAACACATTAACTACTAAAGTAAAAAAACAATGAAGGAATTATTTTGAGATTCAAATTTATAAACTAATATTAGTAAGTAGTGACAAAATTATTTGAAGTCATATGAAACATCAGTAGGTGAGAACTTGAGTTTTAAAAGTCTATAAATAGAAGAAACCACAAAATATAGCCC